GGAAGAGACAAGATAGAGATTGGGGGCTGGAGAGATGGCTCAGGGGGTAAAAGTTCTCCCTGCACAAATGAGAGCTGCCTTTGGAACTCCTAGCCTGAAGAGAAAAAGCAGGGAGTGGCCATATGCCAGCCCTGAACCCCAGGGCTGTAGAGCCTGAAGACAGGAGTGTCCCTGGGGCTTGCTGGCTTCCAGCCTAGCTCCAAGGTCAGTGAGAGACCCTGTCTCAGAGGAATAGGCTTCTAATGGATTAATAAATAAATGATAACCCTAAAATGGAGGACATGAGGTTGGGAGGGAAACGTGGGAGGGGTTTTGAGAGAATAAGCATGATTAAGATGCATTGTATACAAGTATGAAATTTTCAACAAATAAATACTAAAAGAAAAAAATGATGGCACCCAGACCTCTTCCTCTGGTCCCTGAAGGTGCACCTTCTCAAAACCCCTTAAATATATGAATGAATAAGATTTAAAAGTGAATGAGTGGTTTGGCTATGCCCCCCCCCCCCCACTCTTACCTCCCAGTTCCCTGGTGTAGCCTGATCTGTCCCAGTTCCAGACGTGGTAGCCAGTGGGCATGTCTGCCTTGTCACGATGTTTTCTTTCCCTCTTCCCGGATGTCCTATAAATGGAATCCTACAGTGCAAAGTGCAAGATTGAAGTGCTTGGCTGTCTGCCCCTGGCTTTGTTTGCAACCATTGGCTGCTTTTAGCCTTGTGTGGGCTGCAGAGCTTATGCATTTGGGAAGTGTTTATTAGGGCTTTGATGAAGCTTCTTGTGAATGAAAGGGGCTGATCCTCAGCTGTAGCCCTGGCCCAGGAAATGGGTTTCTTCCTGCCCTTATGCATGTTGTATGGGAGAGTCCATGTCTTTGTGAGCCTTAGATAATCGTTTGCTTTAATTATTGCTTCCTCCAATTGAGTTTCAGCCCTCAGATCTCCCTAGACAGAACCAGACTAGACTAATGATGATAACGTTATTGGCACAGTTGACCCTGCATAGCTTTGCCTTCTGTGTTCCTGGACTCATAGTACTGGGGTAGGGACTGGGGGATGTAGGTCTTAAGTTTGTATGTTCTTGATTTTCCTTTTCTTAGAGCATTCTTGATATTTACTGTCTTTGTATATAGTTTTGTATCAAGCCTAAATCTTTTCTTTAGACTAAAAAGGGAATTGTAGTGAGATATTCATTCCACCCACACCTGCTGCACTGACCACGCCCATTGGGGGGTGGGAACAGGTGCGGACCTGGGAGAACTAGGTCTGGGGTCAATAACCCCAGAGGCTCTCTCTCTCTTGCTTCCTGGTCGGCGACATATAGCATCCAGAGGCATCCTTGGGATGGGAATCTGCTGGTGGTCATCTGTCTGTGTTGTAAGTGATTTCTCCCTGAATAAACATCCATCAGCCTATCTGTTTTCCCCTATTCTTATTTATTCCACGATAGGGGGAGGTGTCCACTGAGCTTAATTGGCCAATTTCATTAGAGTAGCAGTGACTACCTACAATAAACTGTCCCTTGTCCCCTCACGCCCACCCCAGGCCTGCTGACTCTTTATATTCCCTCATAGGTGGAGGGGTGGGGTGGATCACTGGATTTACCCCCTTGTAGCATGAAAAATAAATTACTCAGAGACTGATATTGGGGTTCAAGCTTCAAACTGAAGATTAGGAAAGCAAAGCAGTTGGGTCCTAGTTCTTACCTCTGCCTTACGCTGAGAGGCGATCCTAGCTCCACCAAACCTCAGACTGCAGTCCCAGACTGTTATGCTCTCCTCAGTGTGGCTGGAGAATCCTGAGACTCAATCCTTCCTATCCTCAATGTGGCTGGAGGATGAATCCCAGCTCTGAGACCCTGCTTCTGTTTTACATACCTCTTTAGTGCTGGGATTAAAGGTGTGTGATCCCAGGAACTGGGATCAATGGCATGAACTTTGTTACTCTTCACTCTTGTGTAGGCTATGGTGGCCTTGAACTAACAGAGATCTATCTACCTGAGTCCTGGGATTAAAGGTGTGCACCACCACTGCCTGATCTCTTTAGCTTGAGGCTGGCTTTGCTCTCTGAATCCTCAGGCAAACTTTAATAAATTATAAATAACATATCACCACACCTCCTCCCTGCAACATTCTAGCTGCTCCCTCCTGACCTCCCAGTCAGATGCATATGCCCATGCTTCATGGTCTTGGTGCTAGGGTGTACAGAGGGTTGAAGGGGGAACTCTTACCTGTGCAGTTCTAGAGAAGTAATCCATGCTGGGATGAGGCTTTCCTGGGATATGGCTGCTTTGGGGTCAGCCAAGGTGCTGTGCTCTGAAAGTAGTCCAATAAACTCTTTGGTTCTCCAAGTTGGACCATGGTGGAATTGTACTTTGGTTTGCCATTGGTGCCCATAAGGAAAGAAGGGTAGACTGCAACAGGATGTGGCTTCATGGGTGGTGGCCTTGCCTAGTGTGCTTGGAGTCTTGGGCTCTGTGTTGGGTGGGGGAGGGAGGGAGGCTCTCTGGGATTTGCTGGTCGGCTAGCCTAGTCTCATTGTGCTCTAGGCCATTTCCTCAGCACCCCCAAGATGTTTAGTCTCTAAATATGTTCTGCCCTGAAGAAGAGTTGAAAGTTGGCTGTAGTAATGACAATTGAAATTGAATTGTAATGTATTGAATTGAGGCTCAAAGCTTGGCTCCTCAGGAGAAATCATAGTCTTTGTGAAGGTGCCAGGAATGTAACATGTTTCAGCGGCTGAAGAAAAACAGTATGGCGGTTCATTATCAACACTAATAGAATTAACACAGTTGGGGCTGGGTTAAGAGTTTTAATGTGCAAGCATGAAGAACTGAGTTCGAATCCCCAGCATCCACGTAACAAGCGGGAATAGTCATGCTATATACCCCAGAGAGATCTCTAGGGCTTACTGATTGCCAGCCCATCTCTAGGTTCAGTGAGAGACTCCGTCTCAAGGGGATGAGAGAGAGAGTGACGAAGTGGAACACCCAGCATCCTCTTCTCTTTTCCGGGCTCATGCCCAGGGCATGTACTCAATATGCATGCGTATATACATGGAAGAACTGGAAATGGGGCTCAAGGAGATATGGCCATAGAAACGTGATTTGTAATCTCCCAATGGTAAAAGCTGTCTAAGTGACTGCCGTTAAATGATGGGCTCAGTGAAGATAATTTGCCCTTACAACAGAATATTATTCAGCCCTAAAAAGAAATGAGGACCTTTCTACCATGTGGATAAACTTGGAGGATAAAGGACTGCGTTCATTCAAAGTCTCTGCAGAGACAGAATGTAGGAAGGTGGGTTCTGGGCCCATGGAGGGGCTGTGAGAGGGACAGAGTTTCGGTTTGGAAAGGTGAGAAGGTTCTGTGCATGAATGGCTGATGGGGGTGCTGCACAGCCAGACACATGCTTTTTATTAATAAAAATTGCATACATATGTGTATGTGGTATGCATGTATCTCTGTGTGTGTTTCTATGTACACGCATGTGTGTGTGGAGGCCCAAGGTTGACATCAGGTGTTTGATTACTGCACCTTACATATTGAACTCCTGATTTTCCTGTCTCTACCTCTTGCATCCTGGGAGATAGATTTGTATCACTGTGCCCATTTATTTATTTATTTGTTTGTTTATTTATTTATTTTGTGATGCTAGCATCGAACCCAGTGTTTTGTTCACACTAAGCAAACACTCTACCACTGAGCCACACACCCCGAGCCACAGATGGAAGCTTTTAGGATGTTTTACGACAGTTAAAATTTGATTTTGCTTGTTTGTCACACTTATTCCTATGTCCCCTGAAATATATATAGAAGAAGAGGCAATTAGGAAGTTTTGAACAGTGAGATAATTGGAGAAAAGGCTAATGGAAGGAACTGGGCTAGAGTCCAGACTCCCATGGACGAAGTCATTGACACCAAACAAGAAGGCTGCTTAGCTGTTGAGGCTCAGGCTGTGCTCTCATTTGGAGGTCTCCTCTTTCCTCCAGAGTAGGATCGCCTTTCAAGTTGCAACAAAACCTGAAATAGTTATAGGTCCTGTAACCCTGTGAGAGGCTGAGGCAGGAGGATGGCAAGTGCAAGGCTAGCCTAGGCTACAGAGTGAGTTCAAGGAGAGCCTAGGTAACTTAATGAGATCTTGTCTCCAAATGCAATGCATATAAGTGTATGTGTATGTTGTCATGGTGGTAGAGCCCCTACCTAGAATCTACCAATGAAGGACTGAGGTGTATCTTGGTGATAGAAACCAGGCAAGTCTAAGGTTTCATTCCCACCATGCAATATGTAAATAAATAGGTAAGTAATTAAGTCATAAGTAAAATTATGTAAACCTATAATGAAGATAAATCACATTGATAACAAATGATGAAACAACCACTTCTTTGCTATGATATATGGCATTTTCAGAAAATATTTTCTTTTCACTCAAGTGGGTGCATATGCAACATGAACAGATTACTACCAAGCCCAGAAGAGGATGTCAGATCCCCTGGAGCAGGAGTTACAGTGAACCACCAACTTGTTGTGGGTGCATGGGAAATGAACTCAAGTCCTTTGCAAGAACAGCCAGTGCTGGCAGCTATTGAGCTGTCTTTCCAGCCCTAGGCATGGCATGGTATATGTGCCCTTGAAGTTGTTGTCTACTACTGTATCTGTCATAGACATAGACTGTATGGACTATGCTATTTTAGAGTGTGCTACATTGTGTCTCTTGCCAAGGACATTGGTTCCTTGGCTTCCTGTCAGCACCTTGAAGTTGGTGGTAGTAACTGGCAAATGCTGTGAATTAGGCCTCTTGCCCTCCCCTCCCTCAGGTGACTGTTGAACTTTTTCCAAGCGTGGAGTTGCTTTGGGGGCTACTGTTATTTTTCACAGACTAGCCAGGCACGTGCCAAGTGCTGTTTAAGTGTGGCTGTTATTGTTATTATTTTGTTTGGCAGTTTGTTCAGACAGAACTTGGACAGAGTCCTTGACCAGCTGTTTTGTTTTTTTCTTGTCTCTAGTTTGCCCGACCATCTGTAAGTCACATGGCTGCACAGCTGAAGGCCTGTGCTGCCACAAGGAGTGCTTAGGCAACTGTTCGGAACCCGATGATCCAACCAAGTGTGTGGCTTGTCGCAACTTCTACCTGGATGGTCGGTGTGTGGAGACCTGCCCACCCCCCTACTACCACTTCCAGGATTGGCGATGTGTGAATTTCAGCTTCTGTCAAGACCTTCACTACAAATGCAGGAACTCTAGGAAGCCTGGCTGTCACCAATATGTCATTCACAACAACAAGTGCATTCCTGAGTGTCCTTCTGGCTATACCATGAATTCCAGCAAGTGAGTCCAGTGTGTAGGTCTGGGGAAGGAGCTGGAAGCAGGTGATGTGGTTAAAGCTGTTAAAGAGGGCTGGTGAGCTCTTTTGCTGGATGCATCCCCAGCACCAAGTTTATTAGGCCTGGTGGTACACACCAGTAGTCCTACCATTTGGAAGTTAGAAGCAGGAGGATCCAAAGTTCAGGGTCATTCTTGACTGCAGAGTGAGTTCAAGGCCAGTATGAGCTCCGCAAAACCCTGTCTCAAAAAAAAAACAAAAAAACAAAAACCCAAAACAGAAACCTATACCACCCCAAGGAAACCACAAAATAACTGCTGTTTAGGACTGATGACGAAGCCTTATCAGTTCCAACTGTGCTAAACGAGAGTATACTGGCTAAGAATGAGGTTGCTGTTGATAGCCACCACTTACATCTTTTCAATTCCATATGTGTGTGTTCATCTGTGTGGGCATGTGTATGTACAGATGGGTACAGGCGAACATGTATATGTGCATGTGAGATTGTGTATGTGCATGCATGTGTGAGCAAGTGTGTACACATGCAGGAACCTGGGTGTGCAGGTGGGCATGTGCACATGTATGTGTTTGTGTTTATATGTGTGGTCACATTTGTGTGCAGGTGGGCATGTGTTTATATGTGTATATGTGGTCATGTATATGTGCCGATGTGTGTGTGTGTGTGTGTGTGTGTGTGTGTGTGTGTACCAGCTGCTGATATTGGATGTTTTCCTCAATAACTCTCCACCTTCTTACTTAGTTTTTAAATATTTTACTTTTACTATGTGTGTGTTATGTATGTACAGTGTCTGTATGTGCACGGAGGTGTCTGGGGAGGCCAATAGAGGGCATCAGTTTCCCTTGAGCTGATGTTATAGGTGAATGTGAGCCTTCGTGTGGGTACTGGGAATTGAACTCAGGACCTCTGGGAGAGCAGCAAGTTCTCTTGACCACTGACCCATGTCCCCATTCCCCACTTTATCTTTGAGTGAAGGTCTCTCACTGGATGTAGAGCTTAGGATATTCCTTGTCTACTTCCCTAGTGCTGGCTCTTTGTTGATGCTGGGGAAGCAAACCTAGATCCCCATGCTTGCGCAGCAAGTATTTTGCCAACTGAGTGATCTACCAGCTCTCAGTAGTGTGTGTTTTTTTAAACACTTTGTCCTCGTCTTTGGTGATGGGCTTGATCAGAAGGAGACATTTCTCTCAAACACGCCATTTCTGAATGCCGTGCTTACAGTTGAAGACGGAAATCTTTTGTTTCTCCTGCACCCTCGCTCCTCCCTGGAACTGTTACACCAGGAAGGTAGCTGTGTTGTTCATGTCCTACCCCACCTGACCCCAACACAAGCTGGGGACACACTGTCTTAAGGAGGGGCAGGTTACGCCTACGCTATTCCCAGAGCTTGGCTGTTCTTCCAAGATCAGCACCATCAAGCCGTTTCCTACCGCTTGGGTGAGAAACAGGTTTCTCTCCTTGGTGGTGAGTCAGGCTTCCTATAGCTACACCGCAGATGCTTGGTGCAGGGCCTCAGCTTCGTGAATGAGATAGTTTAATGTTTGGGACCCTCACCATGTTGTTGTTTTAAATCTCTTTCCTTGTTTTTGTGTTAGTGTTTAAGAGAAGTAGGATGGGGTGGGAGGGGGGATGTCCAGCAAAGAACAGAAAACCAAATCAGAAACAGACGCACATTGTGAGGCCTTGAGCTGACCTGCTGACGTCAAAATTCTTCCTTTCAGACTTGGGCATTAGCCAAGTGAGTGAGCAAAAGAGTGTTTTGATTTTGGTGGGAAATTTTATTTCCCTGGGTGGAAAAGAGCAAGAAGGAAAACAATCTTTATTTAAGCTCTCGTGAGTGTTTATGAAACCTGAAAGTACAATATGTTTTGTTTTGCTCTTTTTTTTAATTAAATAAATTAAAAAAAAAAAAAAACAAAGAAACAAAACGGCAAGTATTGTTGGCCCAAATAGACCTCGATAAATCAGTCTCTGTGTTGAATGGGACTTTATTTTTCATTTCGAGGGCAGGGGAAGGTTCAACAGGAAGCTTGGAGAAGGAAATATTGTTCTGCTTATCCATTTCAGTTTTTAAGAACAATTGTGGGTACTGATGGTTTCTGTCACGACCTTTGTGTAAAAGACATTGGCTTTAGGGCCAGAGCGTTTGCCCACCAGATAAAGCAGGAGTTTGGGTCACCAGAACCTGTGTGTATGCCAGGCTGTGTGGTGGCCCATCTGTCATCCTAGCCTTAGAAGGTGGAGACAAGGATCCTGGAGCAGGTTGGGTATCTACTGAGTTCAAGTGAGGGAGCCTACCTCAGTGTATCCGATGGAGAGCTGGTAAGGTGGCTCAGCAGGTAAAGGTGCTTGCCACCAAGCCTGACATCCTAAGTTTGAACTCTTAGGAACCCAGAAGGACAAAAATGACTCCTAAAGGTTGTCCTCTGGCATACTACATGCTGTGATGTGTACATGCCCACATAGTTACACACACACATGCACACACACATACACACACACACAAACATATATACACATACACATCTATCATATATCTGTCTATCAATCAATCTATCTATCATTTACCTGTCTATACATACACACATCTAATTATCAATCCATCAATACACACACACACACACACACACACACACACACACACACACACACACGATAGGGAATAGTTGAGGAAGACATCTAGCATCAGGTGTGGGCTTTCACACATAGGTGCACACATGCATATATAGCACATATACATATACATTCAAAAGAAGAAAAAGAAGACATAGGATTTAAATAAAAGGCTTTAAAAAAATGTTAACCATAGCCAAGATGATGACTCTCTGTACATTGTTGTGTTGTAGGTTTCTATATTGGTTCTCAACTCCTGTAGCTTTTCTGATGATGGCTGCGTGAGACACTGATCTATGAGTATGGCACAATGTCCTTAGAAGTCATTTTATTGTTATGTTTCTTTGGGTCTATGGTCTATCTATTCTCAGGTTCTTGGACACCTGACCACTGTCAGGCATGGGTTTCATCTCAGGGAACGGGCCTTAAATCCAACCAGATAGTGAGTGGTTGGTTGTACTTTTATGCCACTATAGCTCTGTGCTATTGTGCAGGCAGGTCACTGTAGGTGGAAGGGCCTGTAGCTGTGTTGGTGGCATGCAGAATACTTCCAATACCATGAACACTAGTCAACAAGAGGAAAGGTTCTATGTAAGCACCTGCTCGACTTCTCTGTGTTCAGTGACACATATTGCTGTGGTCTTCAGCAATTGTTTTTTTTTTTTTTTTTTTTTTTGTTCCTTTGGGGGTTCCCTTTCTGTGTCTTAACTATTTGAACAGATTCCTGGCTGAAGTTTCACTTGATGTGTAGAAATGTCTAGTTGAGGCTTTGTCTCCCCTGGTGATTCTACTTGGATTTCTTTCATGAATGTAATGTATACATTTTAAGAAGCTTCTGTGGTAGTAGGTTCCTATATGATTCCTTCAGTGTCTCTTAGTGTTGGCTGTTCCTGTCTGTATTTCCTCCCTCCCTTCCCTCCCTCTTCCTTTCCCCTATCCTTGAATCCTTCTGTTCTGCCTCTACTCCCCCATTCCCTCCCTCCATCCATAATTATATATTCATTTCTCCTTCCTTGAGGTACCCTTCCCCACTGGGGGATTGCTGTAAATTATATCCTTATATCCCTGTTCTCTCCAGGTCCTTTATCATGAAGGGGTGTTGGCTTTTGTCAAAGACCTTTTCTGCATCTAATGAGATGATCATATTTTTTTCTTTCAGTTTTTTTATATGTGGATTACATTAATTGATTTTAGTATGTTGAACCATCCTTGTATTTGTGGGATAAAAGCTATTTGATTAGGGTGGATGATCTTTTTTATTTGTTCTTAGATTCAGTTTTCAAGAATTTATTGAGATTACTTGGGTCTTTATGTGTTTAGGTGTCAGAGTAAGTGGGCTTGTAAAAAAAACACGGGCAACATTCTTTCTGTTTCTTTGAAAGTCTGGTAGGATTCTGTGCTAAAGTCAGTTGGCCCTGGAAGTTTTTATTATCATTTTGGATGGGAGGCTTTTAATTACTGCTTCTATTTTACTGTTTAAATTGCTTAACCAGTCTTGATTTAATTATTTAATTTTGGTGAGAGGTATATATGGAGAAAATTATCTTTTTTGTTTTTCCATTTTCTAATTCGGAGTACTGTTTTTTAAAGTGTATACTTACAATTCTCTGGATTTCCGTGTCTATAGTTATGGCCACCCTTTTGTCTCTGATTTTGTTAATTTGGATTTTCTCTCTATGCTTTTCTTTTTTTCTTCCCCCCCCCCCGTGAATTTGTTTAAGGGTTGCAAATGTGCTGTTAAGTATGAGATCTCTTCTTTTTTTTTGGGGGGGGGAATATTTTAATTTCTTTGATAATTTTTTAAAATTTAAATTGGAAACAAGCTTGTTTTACAAGTCAATCCCATTTCCCACACCCTCCCTTCCCCTTCCCTGTCTCCCCCAATCCCCATCCCATCTGCTCCCCAGGGAGGGTGATGCTTTCCATGGGGAATCTTTGAAGTCTGTCATCATCATTTGGAGCAGGGCCTAGCCCCTTCTCCACTCCCCACCCCCCATGTGTTTAGGCTGAGAGTGTATCCCTCTATGTGGGGTGGGCTCCCAAAGTCCATTCAGTAAACTAGGAATAAATACTGATCCACTACCATAGGCCCCATAGACTGCCTAGTCCTCCTAACTAACACCCACACTCAGGGGGGCTGGGTCAATCCTATGCGGGTTTCCCAGCTATTAGACTGGAGTCCATGAGCAGGTCAGAAGTTTCTGTGGGTTTCTCCAGCTTGACCCCTTTGCTCATCACTCCTCCCTCTCTGCAACTGGATTCCTGGAGTTCAGCTCAGTGTTTAGCTGTGGGTGTCTGCTTCTGCTTCTATCAGCTCCTAGATGAAGGCTCTAGGATGGCATATAAGATACCCATCAATTTCAATATCGGGGA